GAGCTCCCTGAGGCCCTCTTGGAGCCGTGTTGGGCCGTCTTGGACGCTCTAACTACCCGCGGCCCCCCCTGTCCAGGTCAGTGGGGAGGGGGTAGGGGGAGGGGTAAACCCCTCCCCGAAGGGGAAGAAGGAGGGGTGGAAGAGGAAACGCTCTAAACCACCGACGCCCAGAGGGCTGGTGGGATTCACATGAAGATGATACTAGTAAGAAGAAACGGCTGGCTAATACTAATAAGCTGAGTAAACACAGCATTCGTGACAATATGCCTTTTCAGAGTAGTCGTAAGAGTAAGAAGCGGCATAAGGACGCGAACAACACAATGGGGACGGGAGGACTGAGGACGAATACGGGACGCGCTGCCTCACCACACTCTGCAGAAGGATTCGTTGCTTGTGCCGCCGCGGGCGTTGTTCATTCGGGAGTTGCGTTGGGTACACGCAAGAGTCGCCCTTCGCTGGCGTGACCTCTGTGCGCGTTTTTGGGGTGCGCAGGGGGTTTCCAGACCCGAGCGTGCAGGCCGCCGCTGTCGCGAGGCACGCGGCGATCGGCAGGCCGCGCACCAGAGGCCCGTCCTGACTGGGGTGCAGCCGAGTGCGGCACGGTGGGGGCGGGCCGGCGGGGGCGGTCTGCCGGGAGGCGCGCGAGGGCCTCTGGAGGAGGGGACGGAGGAGGAGGAGGAGGAGGAGGAGGAGGAGGAGGAGGAGGAGGAGGAGGAGGAGGAGGAGGTCGTCGCGGGCGGCGGGGAAACCAATCCGTATCCACGGCCTCGTGGGCAGGGGCCTCTGGGCCGCGACCCCATGGATACGGGACGCTTCTTCGCGGCTGCCCCGCGCGGAACGCAGCCGCATGAACGCGTGTTCACGCCATCGCTCTGGAATCCAGGTCGCGAGTGCGTGAATATGGATACGCTCGCCGCTCGTGAGGTCGGGGATAGGGGAAGAGAGAGAGAGAGAGAAGGGTGGCCTCGAGGCCTGAAAAAGGAGGCGTGCGGCGGTGATTATGCACATGGCCGCAGGCTCTGTCGGGGCACGATGGGGCAGAACCGACCGCTTCGCGAGGACCGCTCCGCCTGGACCGTGTCGCCAAGCTCTGAAGACATTTCGCTTGGACCGTTTCGCCGGTGTTTTTTTCAGCCAGTATACGTCGTACGAGCGTACCCCGTCGTTTGTCGTCGTCGCCATAGTTTTCGGCCTCTCGGGGCCCCACTGGGCTCTGGAGCCGTCAAACAACGGCTCGGGATGAAACACCGGTCCCAGGGAAGTGGTCGAGACGTCGGGGGCCCGTGTTTTGAAAATCGAGACGCTGGTTTTCTCCGCCCGCCCGCCCGGTAGGGCCCGCCTCCCATCCTTCAACCCCTGCTGCTCCTGCTCCCGCTTTTCCTCTTTTGGGCCACCTTCCCGCTCCGCTGCTTGCTCCTGCCTTTTTTTTGTGTGGGTGTGTGAGTCATACATGTATAGAGACATACATCTGTATGTAGTTATGTCTGTCTGTCTGTCTGTCTGTCTGTCTGTCTGTCTGTCTGTCTGTCTGTATGTATGTATGTATGCATGCATGCATGCATGCATGCATGTATGTATGTATGTATGTATGTATGTATGTATGTATGTATGTATGTATGTATGTGTGTATGTATGTATGTATGTATGTATGTATGTATGTATGTATGTATGTATGTATGTATGCATACATGTATGTATGTATGTATGTATGTATGTATATGTGCATGTATGTAATGTAATGTAATGTAATGTAATGTAATGTAATGTAAATGTAATGTAATGTAATGTAATGTAATGTAATGTAATGTAATGTAATGTAATGTAATGTAATGTAATGTAATGTAATGTAATGTAATGTATTGTAATGTAATGTAATGTAATGTAATATAATGTAATGTAATGTAATGTAATGTATGTACGTACGTATGCATGTATGTATGCATGCATGCATGTATGTATGTACGTTTGTATGCATGTATGTGTGCATGCATGCATGCATGCATGCATGCATGCATGCATACTTGTATTTATATATATATATATGTCTAACGAGCCATATGATCAATCAACCTGCTCTTTGGTCTTCCCTAGTGTAAAACACGTTGTCCCCCAAGTGAGAGTTGTGGCTGGCGGAAGTTCACGCGGGCGAGGCGGCCCGCCGGCGCGAGTGGGCTCTCGGCGATGGCGGCTCCGTGGGCGGTGAGCGGCTCCGTTGCGGCGGAGAGCGGTCCGCTCTGGCGGGTGCGGTGCGGGAGCGGAGCGGCGCGCCGCGGCGAGGGTCAGCCACGCGCAGGGGGCACTCCTCACACGAGGGCAGCGAGGACCTCGGGGCCATCAGGGAAACGAGCCACCGAGCCCACGCTCGAGGGGCCACGAGCAGACGAGGCCAATGTTGACAGTTTAGCACCCGAGGGCCGCCAGGGACCAGGGGGCCACGAGCGCCAAGGGTTCCCGAGCCCACCTTTCCAGAGGATGCCCCCGCTTAGAAGGGGAGGGGGAGGGCTTCTTAGAAGCACCCCTGCTTCTTAGAAGGCGCGGGCCTTATCTACAGATATGAGGCCGGCGCCTTCTAAGAAGCAGCCTGCTTCTAAGAAGCTCTCCCCCCTCCCTCCACCCCCTTGTGCGCGCCGCCAAGAGGGGAAGGGCGTGACGAGAGGGAGGTTCCGGGAGGCCTTCTGTCAAGGAGTGGCGAGGCGTCTTGGCTTTCCCATAGTCAGCCACGCGCAGAGGGGGGTGGGGGGGAGGGGGGAGGGCTTCTTAGAACCACCCTTGCTTCTTAGAAGGCGCGGGCCTTATCTATAGATGTAAGGCCGGCGCCTTCTAAGAAGCAGCCTGCTTCTAAGAAGTCCTCCCCCCTCCCTCCACCCCCTTGTTCGCGCCGCCACTGACGAGAGGGAGGTTCCGGGAGGCCTTTTGTCAATCTGGGCCTCCTAGATGGGGTCGGAGCAGATGGGGTCCGAGGATCGCGCCGCATCGCCGATGCATCACCGACGCGGCTCGAGTTGGAGCCCGATTTGCTTCACGTCGACGTTGCTGATGCATCCCCCACGTCGACGATGCATCGCTGGTGCATCGCCGATGCATCGCCGATGCATCGCCGATGTATCTGCGATGCGGCGCGACCCTATCTAGGAGGCCTCTGGTCAAGCAGTGGCGAGGCGTCCTGGCTTGCCCATAGGCCCACCAACTATTATTCCAAGAACCGGTTTTTGTTTGGGGTTTTGCGCGACGTGTTCTTAGAACATGTTTGGCTGAGACCGTCTTCGTTTGATACATCGGCTTTATGTTCTAAGAACACTGTTTTTGTTCTTAGATCATTATTGCGTTCTACGGACATGTCGTGGTAGGCCTATAGGAGTGCCAGGACGGTCAGTCCCTACTTTTTTTGGATGTGTAGGCCATAGTTTCGAGGAGGACGGAGACACGAATGAGAGGTACCTCTGCGCCCATACGCATGGTGGCCCACATTGCTGTGCAAAACGTTTGGGGGAACATCTGTCGCTCATGACACCTGCACTCGCGTGGCATGTGTCTTGCTGTTTGTCAGGTCCCCTCTGCGGGGGGAGGAGGAGGACGAGGAGGAGGAGGAGGAGGATGAGGAGGAGGAGGAGGAGATAGGATAAGAGAACGAGGAGGCTAGGGGCGGAGGGGGGGAAGATGGGGGGAGGACGAGGTGCAGCGGCGCAGGCAGCAGAGTCTTGCAGGAAATGGTGAAGGTATCGGTAGAAAGTCTCTCCCTCTTGCGCCTCGCTCCGTTGCCGTGCTGCTCCTCCTTCTGCTCCGCCTCCATCCCCTTCTTATCGTCCTCCCTCTTCGTCCTCCCTCCTGGGTGGGGGTCACGACGCCCCGGACCAACCCTGGGCCCACCCCCTCGGACCCCCCCCCCAGGACCAACCCCCAGGACCCCAACCGTGTCTCCCCCCGGGACCCCCCCCAACCCGGCGGGGAAGGGACAGAGGGAAAGGGCTTCCCTTCGACGTAATTGCGACATTGTTCGATCCCCTTTGTTTGTTCGATCTCCCTTACGACGACGACGATTCAAAGGAGGTTGGCGTAGTTCAGTTTTGGATGGGCTGGCCTCGCGTCGAAGAGCCCCTCACACACGCCGAGTCGGTCAGCGGCAGATGTTTGTGTATGGCTATGTTTGCTCTTTTCTCTTGCTCGTAAATGTTTAACTTCTCGCATGCACGACACATATAAAGGGTGTGCCATGTATGTATATATTTAGGTATGTAAATAGACTGTCGTCTTATCCTCCCTCTCCTTCTCTCTCTCTCTCTCTCCTCCGCCTTCTTCTTCTCCCCTCCTCCTCCTCCTCCTCCTCCTCCTTCTCCTCCTCCTTCTAGCCATGCACAGGCTTTGCGGCGCCCGCCTCTGGTGCAGCCGGGCTATCGCCGTTTCACCGTCGTCGTCGTCGTCGTCGTCGTCGTGTCTGTCGCTGCCGTCGCCGCTCGCTCTCCGAGGACGTGGCCCCGCCTCCGCGCGCGGGCCTCGCCACCAGTCAGAGTCAGAGTCGGAGTCCTCTTCCCCCCCGTCCTTCCTCCTGCTGCCCCTTCCTCCGTCCGTCCTCATTCATCCTCCCTTTCTCTTCCACCTCCTCCTCCTCCTCCTCCTCCTCCTCCTCCTCCCTCCTCTGCTCCTCTGCTCCTCCTCCTCCTCCTCCTCCTCCTCCTCCTCCTCCTCCTCCTCTCCTCCCTCCTCTGCTCCTCCTCTCCTCCTCCTCCTCCTCCTCCCTCCTGTGCTCCTCCTCCTCCTCCTCCTCCTCTCCTCCCTCCTCCTCCTCCTCCTCCTCCTCCTCCTCCTCGTCCTCCCTCCTCCTCCTCCTCCTCCTCCTCTCCTCCTCCTCTTCTCTCTCTCACCCTCCCTCCCCTCCCCTCCCCTCCCCTCCCTCCCTCCCTCCCCTCCCTCTCCGCGGCAGCGCGGCCAGCCATGGCAGGTCCCCTCGCCCTCGCGCGCGTGCGGCGGCGGTGGCCCGCGCGGCCGCCGCGCTGCCGCGGGGCCCCAGCGCGGCACGGCGCTTCCGCGTCGTGGGCGGCCGTCGCCGCCGCCGCCGCGGCGCCTGGCGGCGCGCGGCCGGGCGACGCGGCCGCGCCGGCCCTCAAGCCTTCGAAGAAGAAAACATGCCCAAAGCATAAACTTTTGGCGCTCCGTGCGGGTTTCTTGGATCCGCGCTGGGCCCGCGGCGCCTCCGGCGCCGCGCGCCAAAAGCTTAGGAGCGCCAGAAGTTTATGTTTCTGGCGTTTTTCTTCTTCTACTCAAGCTTGGCATCGCTCGGACGTGTTCGACTACACTTAAGAGTGACCCTTCGCCGGAGTGAACCTTTGGTGCGGGCCCACCTGGGGGTCCCCCGATCACCGAGGGCGATGCGGTATAGTGGCGTCTCGCGCGCTCGTGTTTGGTCCCCTTGCGCCACCTTGAAGCCGCGCACCAAGGGTCACTCTTACCCAGGGTGGCTCCTGCGTGTAGTCGACGTGTGTGTGTGTGTGTGTGGTCCCTCGGCGAGGACCATCCAGGAGCATCCTGGATCCTCTTGGCAAAAGCAGCACGCGCGACAACGACAAATGCACGTGGCAGGCAGGCTTCGGGGGGCCCTCCCGGGAGGCCCTCGTCGCCACGGGCGGATTTTTTCGCCTCGAGGTGCTGGTCGGGAGGCGCCCCGGGAGCCCAGGTCAGAGGCTCGGGGAGCAGCGGCACATCGATGCGTCCTTGCCCCCCCCGAGATCTGGGGGCGGCCAAGAGGGGGGTGATGGCTAGGGGGGGGTGGACGTCATGGCGGGGGCCACGATACTTCCCCAGGGCATCCCCAGGACGAAAGCGTTTTCCTCTCGGGCCGAACAAAAGGGACGGCCTGAAGTCTTGAGCAGACGCGTGTGAGATAACCGCCGCCGGATCCCATGAAATTTGCGCGGGTCCAAGGGTGGCTTTGGTGTTTGTTCTGGTGGATCCGATTTCCGTCCGCGCGGATCCGATTTCGGATTTGCTGGATCCGTGTTCGGCCTTCGTTTTTACGGCGGATCCGATGTTTACCCCGTCTTCAATTCATATTATCAAATTTCAACGGGGAACCGGATCCGCCGACCCCGGGACCCACCCGTGTTAAGATTCTACGGGGGGAGGGGGTTCGGTCATTAGCTTCCAACTCATCATCGCCATTTGCACCTCACGAGGAACACCTTCCGTCCTGTGTAAGTATTTCCCCAGATGTCATGCCGCCTCTTCTTGTTCCAGTACGTGACCGGCCCCCCCCTGGGCCGCGCACATGCCGCTGGCCATGATTTGCGCCCTCCCCTCTTGGACCTGGCATCGCTCGGACGTGTGTATTTTTTTCTCGGCGAGGACCCCTGAGGAACATCCTGGATCATCGAGCGAACAAAAACACGCACGAAACCGAAAAGCACACGGGGAATGGACGTCCGAGCGACGGCAAGTGGGCGCCCTCCCTTGGACGACCCCGAAGGATCCGGGGCAGCGTCGGTCCCAGGCCCTCGCGCGCCGTGAGAAAAGATCACGACGGGAGGCTCTGCGCTATGTTCGGCCTCCGAGGGGCCCTTACCGGGCCTCTTGGTCTGCGGGGCGAGAGCGGACCTCTTCCGCTAAAAGCTAGGCGGGCTACGCACAGCTCTAATGAGGGAGACGGGGCACAGGAAGGCGGGGCCTCAGGCGGCCAGGAGCGGGCGGGGCCCGGGGAACAGGCGGTGCCGAAGTGGATGTGCAGGAAACCCTTACCGGGCCTCGGGACTGTCAAAACGCGACTCACGATGGAAGTCCGGCCCGGGGGAAGGGGTCCAGACTTCTGGGAAGCGACGTTGTGAACAGAATTACGCTCTCGGGCGTCCGGGGTGGGGGATGGGCTCAGTTGCGGAAGTCTCCTTGACTTGTCGGAGGTCTCCGAGACCCAGGGTGGTTTCCAGCAGCTGCGCCTCGTCGTGGGCGTGCCTAGGGGGCCGGGATCGCCCCGAGCGGCCGCAGGGGGCCCGAGTTCTGGCCAGAACCACGGTTCAGCAACTCGTCAACTCGTTCAGGGACAACGCTTAAATCGGGCGTGACCCTCTACAGGAGGAGTAGACAAAAACAGTAGAAACAAATAATAGGAAACGTTTTTTCCCGGAAAGGGCGTCGGCCCAGGGTTCTCTTTTAGTAGGTTTACCCCCGGTTTTGACGGCTGTAGGGCCGGCACATTTCTTTTGCGATAAATAACGAGGTCGCGTAGGTCCGGCGAATTAAATTTTGAGGATGTCTCGAGCGAAACGCTTGAGGATGTCTCGAGCGAAACGCTTGTTTTGTGTTATAGATTGTCCTCTCCCGGGGACCTGAATTCTGAGGATCTCTCAAGTGGATTGCTTGTTTTCACGTGCCCAGGTCTTGAGGATGTCTCGAGCGAGACGCTCGGTTTCACGCCTCAAGGTGGCCCAGACAGATGTCTAGCATGAGGATTTGTTGAGGATGTCTCGAACCAGAGGCTTGTTTTCACGTGTCCAGGTCGCCCAGGCGGATGTCTAGCATGAGCATTTGTTGAGGATGTCTCGAGCGAGACGCTTGTTTGCACGTGTCCAGGTTGCCCAGGCGGATGTCTAGCATGAGGATGTGCTGACAACGTCTTGAGCGAAATGCGTGTTTTCACGGTGTCCAGGTCGCCCAGGCACAGCACAGCCCTCGGCACGGTACATCAATATCGATATCCTTAGCATTGCAGCCTGGCATGTTGCCTGGCACGTTCCGCGGAGCGTCCCGTGGCGAGTCCCCCTGGCACGTCGCGCGGTGCACGTCCATTTGCACGTTCCGTAGCGCGTCCCCTTGGCACGTCCCGCGGTGCGTCCCCATGGCACGTCCCCTGGCACGTCGCCTGGCGCGTCCCTTGGGGCGTTCCGCGGCGCGTCCTCTTGGCATGTTCCCTCTGTCGATTAGTTCTGGGGCAGCTACCATCTGCTCAGGCAGCTCGAGCTTACGCTCCAGATCAGTTCGGTGAGGACTTGGATGCCAGGGAGGACTCGATCCACAACGCATATATATAGAGCACAATCGCGGCATGGCACATCGCAGTTCAGCACGGCGTAGCACAGCACAGCCGTCGGCACGGTACATCAAGATCGATACATTCAATTATGAATCCTGGCAGGTTCCTTGGCGCGTTCCGTGGCGAGTCCACCTGGCACGTCGCGCGGCGCATCCCCGGGCACGTCCCTCGGCACGTCCATTGGCACGTTCCGTAGCGCGTCCCCTTGGCACGTCCCGCGGTGCGTCCCCATGGCACGTCCCCTGGCACGTCGCCTGGCGCGTCCCTTGGGACGTTCCGCGGCGCGTCCTCCTGGCATGTTCCCTCTGTCGATTAGTTCTGGGGCAGCTACCATCTGCTCAGGCAGCTCGAGCTTACGCTCCAGATCAGTTCGGTTTTGACTCGCATGCCAAGGAGTACTCGATCCACAACGCTATATAGAGCACAATCGCGGTATGGCACATCGCAGTTCAGCACGGCGTAGCACAGCACAGCCCTCGGCACAATACATCATCATCGGTATATTCAGCATATCATGTGCCCGTCGCCCAATCAGGTGTCTTTGAAATGTTGCAATGCCTTACATTTCTATATTCCTTTCCGGGTTCGTGGGTCGATCATGTTCGGATACATTTTGGGCTTTTTTTTGATATTAGTCGAGTATTTTTTTTTTTGGTTTCGTTGAAAATGGGCCTGTAGGGGGACATGCCCGACCTAAGGCAACGCTAGGGGGTGGATGGACTCGGGGATACATCGGCCCTCAATCTCGGAGACCCCGAGGTTGACACCATGTATCGGCGGTGTGTCCCCACCGAGGGAGGATGATCCCAATCTCGGTGATGGCGGTATAGTCGGGCTCCCTGGGTGGCCGAAAGACTACCACCAGCACCAACATCCAGGACAGTCTTGAGCCGGGCCTGTCCCTCTACACGAGGAGTATTCAATGATACTGGAGAAAAAACCCAATCAGGGCTATCGGGCTAGGGGGCTATAGGGCCATAGGGCTATTGAGCTATAGGGCTATGAAGCTAGAGGGCTACCTATACGACCACCCTTCGGGTGATAAGGAGGTTCGGGGGGGGGAGGAACCAACGTCTCACTCGACCGGTCTCACTATCGACCTCACAATCGATCTCACTATCGGTCTCGCTCGATCGATCTCATTCGGTCGATCTCACAATCGATCTCATTCGATCTATTTCATTCGATCGATCTCACAATCGATATGACTATCGATCTCACAATCGATCTCACTATCGATTTCACAATTGATCTCACATTCGGTCTCATTATCGATCTCGCTATCGATATCACAATCGATCTCACAATCAACATCATCATCAACATCATCGTCATCAACGTCATCAACATCATTGTCATCATCATCATCATCATCATCATCATCATTGGGACACCATCATCATCATCATCACCTCGTCACCATCATCATCAACATCATCATCATCACCACCATCATCATCGGGACACCATCATCGTCACCATCATCATCATCAACATCATCATCGGGACACCATCATCATCATCGGAACACCACCATCATCATCATCATCTCATCATGGTCATCATGAACAATATCATCAACATCATCGTCATCGGGACACCATTATCATCATCAGCAACATCATGAACATCATCATCATCATCACCATCGGGACACCATCATTATCGTCACCATTATCATCATCGCCATCATCATCATCAGCATCATCATCATCGGGCCACCATCATCATCAACATCAGCATCATCATCATCGGGCCATCATCATCAAAATCATCATCATCACCTCATCATCATCCTCATCATCAACATCATCATCGGGACACCATCATCGTCATCATCATTATCAACAGCACCATCATCAATCTCATCATCATCATCATCGGGGCACCATCATCATCATCATCATCATCTTCATCATCACCATCAACGTCTCATCACCATCTCATCATCATCAACATCATCAACACCGTTAATACCATCATCATCATCATCATCATCATCATCGGGACACCATCATCACCATCATCAGCAACATCATCATGACCATCATCATCATCATCACCAGCATCAGCATCGGGACACCATCATCATCATC